AGCATGAATTTAAGAATTATCAACTTTTTTTTTTTTTGGTACCAGGGATCAAACTCAGGACCTTTCTCCTGCCGGGCAAGGGTGGTGCCACTGAACTACATCCCTGGCCCCATATCAGCAATTCTCTTATCCTAGTCATGCTATTGCCTGTTCCTCTCTGGACAGGGAAAACCCCCTCTCCACCCTAATTAGTATCACCACCTCCTATACACTCACCCACAACTATGCCTTTGTGGTTATCAAGTTGACAGGCATTTTGCCTCCTTTCCTTTCCAGTCCTTTGTAAAAGGGTAGCCTCACCTCACTGTTTTGACCTCTCAGAGTCCTGGTGTTGATAACTGTTTTGAGTTTAATCCTATCTAGTAAGGCTTATAGCAATCTCCATGTGAGTGAACAATTCCAAGTACAAAATGAAAGAATCTGACCACTACCATCCTGATCAGAGACCCCTCTAAACTCGCCCCTCTCAGCACAGCTGCACCTGGGGACTCAACATGATCAGCCCTGCTATTGATAGTAGACACTAATGTGCTTTCCCAAGCCTTGTCCTTGGGCAGCCATTATTGCTTGTGCTCTTGAAAGCCTTGTTCTTAGCAGAGAGCCGCAATCCCCTCTCTGAACCGCCCTCTCCCCATGACCCTACAAAAGACCCCATAGTCTGTTGGGGCACACTTAGTCTGGTCTCTAGTGCCAGAATGGTCCCTCTCAGATTTCTTCTGAAATAAACTTGTCTTTTTGAACTCATACCTCTGTTTCTTCTTTTCCTTTTTTCTAACACAAAAACTTCTTAACTCTTAGCTTTCTTGCTCATAAATGAGGATAATAATTGTGCTTATCTCCTGGGATGGTTGTGATTACAGTGTCATAGATAATGGGTGTAGCAAGTTCCTGGCAAAGAGTGAATATTGTAACCATCACTTACTGAGCAATTACATTTTGCTGTTTTGTTTTGTCTTGTTTTTATAATGCTGGGAATCAAATCCAGGGCCTTGGGCAACCTAGGCAAGTGCTGTACTGTTTCCCTCTTTGCTAGGTTTTTATACCTAGGTTCATGAACTTGCATGGCGGGTGTTGTAAACCTTACCAGTTGGGAATAAATCAAAGTCACAGTAACCAACACCAGGCTCCATACAGGTCAAAAAATGAACTCAGGCCACATGACAACTTGTTTGGGAGAAGGATTGGCCACTGTTCTACAGCAGGAGACTGGGAAGGAATAGAGACAGCAGGTCTACCCACTAGATAAGTACACAGGTACAGTTGTGGGGAAGGGCTTAAAAGTAGGGATCAAGAGCCAGGGATTTAGCTCAGTGGTGCCGCTGACTGCCTTGCAAGCTCAAGGTCCTGAGTTCAATCTCCGGTACCATAAAAAAAAAAAGTAGTGATCAGTAATACCCACTGGTGCAGGAAGGGGGGCTTTCCATGTCCAGATGCAGACCATAGGCAACTATTTTAATAAGCATGTTCAAATGAAGCGGAGGCATGATATACTAAAGCACTAGAGAGAGTGTAGTGAGATCACTAAAAAGCAGAGAGCTGACCTTGACACCAGAGGGGACTGGGCCAGTGAATAGTCACCATGAGGGAGATAGGGATTTTGAATCCAGGTTCATCCGCCTCCAAAGCCCATACTATTAATCAATGTAGTAGTTATACCTAGCATGTGGCAGGTACTCAATACATATATGTTCAGTGAAGGAGTTCATAAGGCTGCTTCGTCCTAGAAGTTTTCTTCCTATATCTGTATCTATGCCCATCCTTCAAGGCCCAGCACAAACGCAGCGTAGCTCTCAACAAATGTACTCTCTCTTTACTGCTAGCAGGTAGGAAAAACAGGAAGCACTGAGAGCTGGGATGGGGAAGTGTCAGGGCACAAGGATGGCATAGCCTGGTGGAGCTGGAGGAAGAACTCTGTGTTTTGCTTAAAGATTTTTCTCCTCAGGTAGAACCCTGGAGTTGAAATTGCTACAAGGACTGGATATTCCCATAATAAAAATAACTCACATTGGGTTCTGATTAGTCAGAAGAGTAGATTCCAATCACTTAGCAACTGGGGTGGGGGTAGGGGTTGGAAACCATCTCCAGAGAGGGGACTGGGAGAAAAGCGAGATAAAATGTCTACCCAGTAAACAATAGCACAAGTGTAATAAAGAGGGGTAGTGGGGAGTGAGAAAAGTTAAAAATTACTGATCCAAAGGTTTTAGGGTCTTTAAACCCCTGAGGATTTAAAGATTTGTAATTCTATGCTATATAATACTTTAAAACCAAGGATATTGAGATTCCAAGGATTTTAAATCCTTATAATCTGTGCTATAAAAGGACTGAAGCAATTCTTGAGCTGTGAAATGCTGGAAGCTTAGGACCCAAAACAAGGATTTTAAATGGAACACTAGACACATTAAAATACTAATTAATCCTCTAAACCATTCTTGGTTTAACCCTTGGGACAGTGGTTTCCAAATTATCTTTCTCAAAGTCCGCAGATTTCTGACAGTACCACACAAAAGGGTATGGAGAGAGTTGGCTTACAGAAGAGAGGACACTATGGGAGAGATTCTGGTACTATTTGAATGCAGAGTGGTACAGAAGACAAACGAGGGCTCTGTTGTTGGTATGTTTAATTTTTTTGTTTTCAATGGAGATAAATATTGCAAAGATACTTTGACTGGTAAACCATCCAGGGAGATCAGGTAGATATGGCTGATGGATCATCCATTAGTTGAATAAATTAGTCATTGTTCAATAAATTGAACATTGACTCCAGTCTACAAACGTATTTCTTTTATAAAATCTATAATAGCTACCACAACTACTATTACTAGTGACTACTATTACTATTACTATTACTGTGACTACTATTATTGAATGGTTTTACTATGTGCCAGGGATGAAGAGATGGGCTCAACGGATAAGCAACTTGCCCAAGGTCATACAGCTAGCACATGGTAGTACTTCACTTACTAGCAGAAACAGAATGGATTAAAGTGGTCAACGATCAGCTGTTTGCCAGTCTTAATTAAGGATAGAGATTGAATTTTGACCAATAGATGGCACCAGTGGATGAGCTTGGTGGCCTGCTCAAGTATGTGTCTAATTTGGGAAGTCCCAGCTAGGGCTCAGGACTGACACAGTTTGTCTCAAGATGGGAGTGGAAAGAAAGAAAAAGCCATCATTTGGTCTTGCATAAGTTGACGTTACCCTGTCCCCTTTTTAGGTAAGCAAAGACACGGAAATGGGCAAGCGAAGGAAACAGTAGCGATTTTGCTAAGAGCTGCTTTGAGAACCAAGAATGTTTTTCTTTCAACATTTCCTGAGCACCTGATTTGTGCCTGGCAATGTAATGTGCTTTAAATCATATAGGGATATCAAACACAACTCCATTTTCCTGCATAGGAAAGGAGGCAGATGCTATGGCAGAGGAGTATTGGGTGTGTGAGGGCACCCAGCCTGGATTTGGAGGCATGGGGAGGCTTCCCACAGGGTATGAGCTAGTCTTATTGGGTGAATGGGAGTTTATGAGGCATGCCAACATGGAAAGCTGTTCCAGACAGAGGTTTAAAGTCACAGAAAGCAAGTCATATTCAAGAAAGGTCAATGTAAGTTTCAGATGCTAAGGAATGATTCCAAAGAGAAGGCAAAAACGAAGTGATTAGAAGGCCTAGACTATCACAGTAAGGACTTGACTTGTGAATATATAGCACTGTGTGTGTGTATGTGTGTACACGTGGATTTTTATGGGTACAGAAGCTGTAGATTCTCGGGGGTTCTTTGATAAAAATAACAAACAAAAACAGGCCCAAAATGAACAAACCATAAAGCTAGCTGATAGTGAGTCAAGGGCTTGACCTGGTCTGATGTGGTATCCGGTGTAAAAAAAAAATGGCAAAAAGGCATGCTGCAGGCAAGAAAACTAGTTGAAAAATAATTCGGGCAGGGGTAAATGTGAAGGTCTGAGCTGTGGTGGATACAAAGGGCACTGAGGAGATAAAATTAACAGGATTTAGTAGCCACTCCAACCCCTCCTCATATGTACACAGCTGGTTTCAAGACTCAAACTAGACTGTACCTCTCACCTTCCCCTCAATCCCCAAACCCTACTTCCAGCTTTTGAAAGGCCCTTTGGAGGCCTTTTTGTTCCCTTTCTAAGATATCCTTGAAGCTTAATCAAGCCTGATTTTATAAGTTGACAGGGAGTGCCTGGCTCCATACTGGGTCCCTAGCTCTTCATCCCTGATAGAGAAAAATCTGTAAATTGACCTCAGGTAGAACAGTGAATTGGCCTTGAACTGGCCTCTACCTAAAAAGGTGGCTTCACAACATGGCCAGAGTTCTATTGTGAAATCATCACAGTTCCAAAAAAAGGGAAACATCATCCAGTTTATTTTTCTCTTGATTCTTCTTATGCCAACACATAGACTTCAATGGATAACAAGCAAAATGAAGGAGGTGGTCAGAGTAAGCTGATTCTCTAGATGCCTTTGTCCTTTCCTGCAATCCCATGAGAAAGACAACCCAACTTTGCTTTGATCTGGTGTAGCTGTTCCTGTAGGTGAAGCAAGAAGCAGAGCTTTCCACATGGAGACCAATTCTGTGTCCTCTTCAGAAAGCTGGCTATGTGCAAGCAGGAGGGGACTTGAGGTGGGTGGGGTGGGAAATGATAGTGTTGGTGGCCTCAGAGGCCCCTGAGGTGTTGAATGCTGCCCTCTAAAGGGTCACATCCTGTCCTACTCTGCTTCCTGGGTGATTCAGAATTCTGGTCTTCCTTCCTATAGAGCTTTATGACCCTTCCTCTATTGACACAAGAGCAGCCCAGATAATCAGATGTTAGAGGACTGGGCTCACAGGTCAATCAGGTAGCTCATATGAGATGGGCAGCTTGAAGACCTAGTTTTCAGTCCAGAAAGCTGCACCTAAAACATCTTGGGTAATCAGTGCCCTTGAAAACTTTCCAATCAGACAATAGCTACTTCAGTTTGGACAGGTCAGGGATGGTAAGAGAGCTAAGCTGTTGCCCTGTGTGGTGTGGAACCTGGTCCTTTCCCGTGTTCTTCTGACCTCCTTTCATTGGCCTCCTCTTTCTCTTCATCATCCTCACCCTCCTCTTCTGCCTCTTCACTGTTGGAGTCTTCATATAGGTTGATGGTGGCCTGGACAGGGAAGTTCTGCAATAAAATCTTCCCAGTACTGTATAAGTAGTCAAAGAAGCAGGATTCAGGCCGGAAGAGCCTGTAGACAGAGCAGAAATATGGCCCATAACTTAGTTCTAGTATGAACAAAAGTGCCGGTACTGCCGAGAGGGAATCCAGCCCTTATATCCTTCTCTTAGCTACAGTAAATGGGGCCAGAGGAAAAGAAGGAGAAATTTGTGGGAGAGCCTTTTGAATTGTTACAAAATGACTCTAGTTAGGAAGTTCACGTCTGGTGGACCCACAGCTATGGAGAGCCCTAGTCCAGCATGTATCAGTGCTGACCCCATCCCAATGCCAGGAGGTTCTAGTCAAGGACTTTCTAGCCCTGTGCTCCCCATCTCTTTCTACTAAGGATTTTTTTTTACTAATGCTCACAGGGTCTCCTCCTTAAGGGTAATGGACAATGACTCCAGGAAACACAATCTTGGCCAAGTAAGTCCCTTAATTTCTCTGGGATTCAGTTTCTTCACCCATGAAAGAGTGATCATAGTGGTGCCTCTTTCCTCTGTCTAAACAGCTAATGAGGGCTAGGGATATAGCTCATTGTGAATGAAGGCCTTGTTTTCTTTTTTCTTTTTGTTTTGTTTTGTTTTGTTTGTTTGTTTGTTTGTTTGTTTTTTTGAGACAGGACTCACTATTTAGTTGAGACTGACCTGGAATTCACTATGTAGCCCAGGCTGGTCTCAAACTCACAGTGATCCTGCTGCCTCAGCATCCCAAATGCTGGGATTATAGGGATGCACCAGCATGCCCGGCTTGAGGGCCTTGTTTTCAATCCCAGTACCAAAACATTTTGTAAAAGAGCAAATGGATCTTTGTCAAGTTCTGAGCTTGGTACAAGAAACTTACCTGACAGGGTAATGGGACTCAGAGTCAGCTTTTGTGGCCTTAGCAGCAACCTGTCCAAAGCAAAAGCCAGCATATTGTTCAAATGGCCAGATAACTACCTCCTCCATATCAGAGGTCAGAAACCTGTAGATAGGATGATCTACAAGAGACTTTAAACATCTCTGTGGTCCAACCACCTCCTTGCACCCTGTCCCAGAGCAAGGGGTCTGTCTTGTTCCTGGCTGAAAAAAAAATAGTGGTTGGAGTCCTGGGAGTTGTTTGCTCTCCTGCCCTTGTTCTAACATCTGTTTAGAAGCTGTCCAGGGAACAGAGTTCTACCAGAGCAGTAAAGAGTCAAGGAGGTTGAGTGAGAAAGCACTGGGGTAAGGTGCCAGGAAACTGAGATTTGAGCATAAGCTCTGCCACACACTGGCTGTAGGGCTTGCTCAAACACCTGCCCTACTTTGAGCCTTGATTTCTCATCTTTCCATTTGCCATAAGAACCTTGAGTCTGTCTTTATCCCAGAGCTGCCATGGCAATCAAATGTTAGCAAAACTGTTAGAATGCTTTTCAGATCTGTAGCCTTGGATTGAGGTCAGGGGCTCTCTGGGGAGGGAACCCACTCTGGTGAATATGTGTGGCTATATGTGCCTGTAAAAATGTGTCACAGGGACTCCAACTCCCCCAATCCACAAGCTTCCTCACTTGCCTTGGAGAGTCATTTGTGGAGGACATCCAGGGCCTCCAAAGACTACCTCCTCTAGGACAAAGAGGAGAGATCAATTGGCAGAGGAAGACCCTGGAACACAGCTCCTTGAGATAACAAAAGAGGCCTCCAAAACAGTGGCTCATATGCTATCTGATTCAGGATGCCTTTCCTAAGTACCTTGAGCTCAGTCTAGGAGAGATGTCCCTACTCACTGCTTCACCAATATTATCATTATACTTATCCCATTGTTTTGTGATTATCTGTTTGAGCTTCTTAAACTCAAAGATATGTTTGATCTTATCTGAGTCATCAATACCTATCACAATGCCTAGTACACAATAGATGCTTCAGTAAATGTTTGTTGAATGTAAAATGTTTGGAAGGATCAATGAGAATTGGGTAGAAAAAATATCTTGCCTCCTACCTCCTGTTCCAAGAAGCAGAGATCAGAACACTTACCACCTTCCTGGGCCAGGAAAAGGGGCCAAATATATTATTGAGTTCAGTGCTTAACTGGTGGACTTCCAGAGGTAGGGGAAAAAGGCAAGTGGTAATTTTATGGTGAAGCATGACTTTAAAAAGAAGAAAAAACAAGTTTCCCTAACCTAAGCAATTCCCCTGTAGTCATCCCCCTCCCTGTGGCTACTGTTCTTTGTCCTTCCAAGTTGTTCCTATAATAACAGCTCCACAACATCCTATTTTTATAAGACTGTTTCTTTTCACCCAACCAAGGCCACCAAGATGTGGTAAGTTGCAAACTGTCACCATTTGAGTAACTGCTTTTGTTCTGCTCCTGTAAACTTGCTTGTCTGCCCACAAGTTTCTCACCATCAGGTAGACCAACCACCCTTTGACAACATGCATAAAACTAGAGCCCTTCCTTTGTTGTGGTCTCTATCTTTCCTTACTGAGGTCAGCCTATGCGGAGGCAGGATCAGATGACAGCGAGTCCCAGGCATCATCTAAGAGAGAAAATTAGAGCCACTACCCCAGGAAAAAGTGAGGGAGGCTTAAATAAATAAGGAAGTTGGCTACAATCAAGCCAAGAAGACGGATGCCCATTTAGGAGACGGGGGGGGCATTTATTATGATACAGATGGCCAAATCCAAGGAGGACAAAGAGGCTTTATCTACCAGACCTCCTCAACCACTGACCTCCTCAACTGGAAACCCATACTCCTTCCTACACAGAGAAGCCCCAGGCCATTACATATTTGATGTAATACATCTTCTAGACACATAATCTAACCTGGCCAGATTGCAAACAGCTTCTCCTGATGCTGTTTATCATTGAGGAGCACTGAAGAGTGACTCATGCTGCCCTCTATGGTTAAAAAACAATCCCCCAGCAGGTGTGATGAATGTTAAAGCATATATTCAGGACCAATTCCTTGAGACAAACCCCCATTGGCATCCAAGTGATACAGCTCAGTTTCAACACTTACAGAAGTACTGAGAGGCTTTCTTGCAATGTTTAAAGAAAGTCATAAAGAGAATAATCAATATGGGGAAGATCTCAGAAATACTCCAAGGAACTGACGTAAGTCCCAGACAGTTTTACAAGAGGCTCTGTGAAACATTCCAGCTCTACACTCCATTTAATCCTGAGGCCCCTGAAAATCAGCACATGGTAAACACAACCTTTTGTGGGACAGGCTCAGAGAGACATTAGGTAAAAACTACAGACCTGACAGGAATGCAACCCAGCTTTTAGAGGTGGCCACTAAGGTATATATCAACTGTGAGCAGGAGGCCAACTGGGAAGCTGATGAGGGGCTCAAAAAAAGCATATCTGTTGGCAGTGGTGCTCACAAGAAAGAGAATAGAAGTTACAAAAAGGCAGGGGTGTGGACATGGTCAAGAAAGAGGCTATGTATGCACACCCATGTTTATAGTGGCACAGTTTGTAATAGCTAAAACTTGGAAACAGCCTATTTGCCCATCTGTTGGAAACTGGATAAAGAAGATGTGGTTTTTCTATAAAATAGAATATTACTCAGCCATAAAGAATGAGAAAATAGATTCATTCATAGGAAAATGGATACATATTGAAGATATACTCCTAAGTGAAATAAATAAGGCACACATGTGTAAATACTGAATAGTTTCTCTGGTGTGAATAATCTGCAATAATACAGAAGAGCCTAATAAGATTACTGACATTTAGAAATGGGAAGAAAGGAGCTAAAGGTGTAGGGAAGGTGGGACAGGTAGGGGAAGGGTGAAAAGGGAAAAGAAAAAAAATGTGAGATAATGAAAAGATGGAAATAAAGTGGTTGTAGATGGGGAGGGGAGGAGAGGGTGAAGGGAGGGCAGGGACAAGGGGAAAAAATGAGAACCAAGACCTGTCATGTAGAGGTACAAGATCCCAACAATGAATGTAACTGTACTGTACCCCTAAAATGTACCAATAAACTCAAATAAAGTTGAAAAAAAAGAAAAAGAAAGAGGCTAGACTGGGCCAGGACATTGAAATTGGCCAAGGTTAGAATAGGATCAATGTGAGTGATGCAAGGGGGGGGCATTAGAAAAATAAATGTCAAAAAAAGATGATGGAGATAATGAGAATTATAAAACTGAGAGACTACCTTATAAAGGTCACCACTCCCAGAAGAAGCCAGACATTGACCTCATCAGATGGGCAGAAACTGAAGGTTATGAAGACTGGGCTCCATCTCCTTAAGCCCCCAGGAGCCTATGATCACAATGGAAATGGGGGTCCAATTGATGTATTTAATGGTAGATAGTGGGGCTAAACACTCAGTAGTAACACTACCCATTGAGCCATTACCCAAAAATGTGACTATGGTTGAGCACACTGGGGTCCCAGAGTAGAGACCATTGCTCTGGCCTAAAAAGTAAGTCATGAGGAGATAAGAGTATCAATGTGAGTTCCTATATCTTCTGAATTGTCCAGTTCCCCTGCTAAAAAAAAAGAGACCTGCTCCAAAAACTACAGGCCCAAATTGCCTTTGGGCCACAAAGAAATATGACATTAAATTTGACTCATCCAGGGACCATGGTGTTAACTCTTACCATCCCACAAGCTGAAGAGTAGAGACTGTATTCAGATAGATCACCAAAGCTAAGAATGGATAAGCTGCATAGGCTGACACATAAGATTCCTTGGGTATGGTCTGAAGATAACCCACTAGGGTTGGCTGTAAATCAAACACCAGTGATAGTTGGACTAAAACTGGGGACAATTCTGGTTCAAGTCTGCCAATACCCCCTCCCCTGGGAAGCCATACAAGGCATCTCTAGCTTCTGTATTTTTACCTGATATCTTCCTGAGCCTGCCCCAAAAAGGCTGTGTTTACCATGTGCTTATTCTCAGTGGCCTCAGGATTAAAGAAAGAGCATTTAAACAAATTAAAGAGGCCTCAGTCTTAAGACTGCAAGATATAGCTAAGCATTTCTTCCTGTATGTCCACAAATGGAAGGGAATGGCCATAAGATTCCTAACTCATGTCATGGGACCCTGGCATTGCCCAGTGGCATACTTGTCAAAACAATAAGACTCTGTGTCCCTAGGATGGTCTCCATGCTTTAGGGCACTTGCTACCACTGCTCTGCTGACACAGGAGGCTGACAAGCTGAGTTTGGGACAACTGACTATTCAAGTACCACACTCAGTTGTAATCTTAATGGACCAAAGAGGGCACAACTGGTTATCAAATCTGAGGATGACTTGGAATCAGGGGCTCCTATGCAAAAATCCTTGCATAACTCTAGAAACAATGAACACGCTTAATGTGGCTACTTTTCTCTCGGTCAAATCAGGAGCCTCCCCTCCTTCATAACTGTGTAAAAACTGTAGACAAAGTATTCTTGAACCAGGGAGATCTCACAGATCACCTCCTCAGAAACCTAGATGTTAAACACTTCACAGATAGAAGCAGTTTTATACTAGGAGTCTGATGGGCAAGATATGTAGTGGTAACACTAGACTCTGGAATGGAGGCTCAGCCCTGGCCTACCAGAACCTCAGCCCAAAAGACAGAGCTGATAACCTTGGCAAAGGCTCTTTTGCTAGTGAAAGACAAAAGGGCTAGCATCTATACTGATTCCAAATATGCCTTTGCTACATTACATGTTCGTAGAGTCATATACAAGGAAAGAGGGCTTCTAACTGCTAGGCAAAATAAAAAAGTCCAAAAAGATTTTTACAACTCCTAGATGTTATATGGACCCTGAAAATGTGGCTGTTATACACTGCAGGGGACACCAATGGACTAAAACATTAAAGGCAGAGGAAACAAAAAGGCAGACAGGAAAGCAAAATGGGTTGCCATGACATCCTTACAACCCAAAAGTGGGGCCCTGGCCATACCCCTTATCCCAGAGCCTCCTCTCTCAGAGACCCCAAATTACTCTTCAAGTAAAAAATCCTGTTTGCCCAAGAATCTAAAAATTATTTCAAGATAAAATGGTAGAAGTTCTCTGATGAAAGACTGGCTATCCCCAAAATGATAGCCCCCCTCCAGGTTTGTAAAACAATTCCATAAAGGGTCTCACATGGGAAAAATGACAATACAGATGTTACTAAGCCATCATTTCTATGTGTTGCAGCTCACTGCCATCACTTGAGCTGTTTGTGAGCAATGCTTAACCTGTGTTCAAAGCAACCCATTGCAAGGGCTTACCCAGCTCCTTAAAAGAATAAGTGCTCCTCCTTGTGAGAACTTGCTTATGGACTTCACTAAATTGCCTCAGGTGGGTTGTTATATTGTTATATTTTGTGCTATTGTTATATTGTTATGTTTTATGTTGGCTATTGTTATATGTTGGTGCTTTTCTGTACCTTTTCAATATGGGTTGAAGCCTTCCATGCCCAAACAGAAAAGACACAAAAAGTGACAAAGGTACTGTTAAGAGACATCATCCCAAGATTCTGGCTGCCCCTGATCTTGGGACTAGACAATGGACTAGCATTCATAGCCAAGCTAGTCTAGGGACTTATATGGAAGTTGAAAATAAAATAAAAACTACACATAGCTTATTGGCCACAGAGCTCAGGGAAAGCAGACTATATAAACCAGACATTCAAACAATTGTTTAAAAAATTGCCAAAAGTCCACTTGAGATATGATCAGGTCCTGCTCATTGTCCTCTTCCAAGTCAGCTGCACTCCCACAAACAA